GCCAGGCCCAGGCAGGGCACGACGGCCATGCCCGAGACGCGGCGCAGGGCCCGTCTCCGGCCTGCGCGAGGGGGTGCACGGGGGGGAGGGGGGCGGGGGCGAGGTGGCAGGCCGCCCCTTGGGGTGCTGCCGCCTCGCTGCAGGGCCTCTCCGGAGCGCCTTCCTGGGCACCCCGGTGGGGCGGCCGCAGCGCCCCACTGCACTTCCTGGGCTCGCCGGCTCTTGGACGTCCCTGCGCTGGTTTCGGCGAGCAATGGATGACATGAGCATAAGCATAAGCATAAGCATAAGCATAAGCGAACAGTGAATGGCATAGGCATAAGCTTTCGGAGATCCGCGCGGATTTCTATCGGAGCGGCAGTGGACCTCCTCCCCTGGCGTGCGGAGCGCGCGGTTTCTGCTATTGTTAAGACGGGCCTGTCCCCCTACAGGGGGATTTTCGACGAAAAATTAAAGATACCCCAAAACTATTTCAAAAAGGCAACAAACATGCCCCCCAAATAGTCCCCAGACTGTTTTCGGAGTATTTTTTGGGGGGTATTTTTGGGGTACTTTTATATTTTTCGTCGAATATCCCCCCTGTAGGGGGACAGGCCCGACTTCATGCTATTGCTTGTTCCTCTACGTCTGTTCGTACTTCCGGCCTCCAGAGCCGTGACACTTTCTGCGACGTGGACCCCCTCGGAGCTCCCCGACCGCCTCGGGGGGCAGTCCTCTCCGTGGCGGCCACTTCGCTCGAGGGTCCCTCTCCACCAGCATCGGCCGGGGCCGGCCAGGCTGAACGCGGCGATTTTTGGGCGCTGCGTAATGGGGGGATCGTAGATGGGGGGGCGGCGAGTGTGGTCCGAAAAGGTACCCAAATGGTACCTAAACGAGCCCCCTGGGGCTCTGGAGGGGCCCGAAAGGGGCACGAAAGGGGACCTTTTCTGACCCCCCCATTTGTGACCCCCCCATGAAGCCACGCCCAAGATTTGATGCCGATCCGACTCGGGAAGGTCCGCTGGCGGACCCGTCCGCTTCCGTTTACGATCCGATCTCGCGATACGCGAGGGAACAACGTGTACCCCTACAGTCGCTCTCCCGCCCTTTCCTGGGGTGCGTTCTGGCCAGACTCTCGAGGCGAACTCTGCCGTGGCGACGAGGGCTCTCCGGGATGAGCAGCGGTATCGGCATTTTTTGAGGAGGTCCACGCGGCTTTCTTGGACCGGCGTTGGAGCCCTCTGGCAGCGCCTACGGCGCCGCGCCTGGCGCGCGGAGCGCGCCAGGGAGGGGGCTCCAGCGCCGATCCGGGACATCCGCGCGGACCTCGGAGAGTTTATGCTGATGTTCTTGTTATGCTCCTTGATTGTTTTCCTCCTCCTCCCAATTTGATCCAGCTCCGGCGTAGAACTTCTCTTATGACTCTCTGGCACTTTTACCAGCTCTGAAAGAGGCACAGTCGGACCAAGGAATAAGATCGAGGTCGGTTCGGGGAGGGTACCCTAGTGTTCTTCGTGGTTGCTGGATGCTCTGGTGCATCCTGGGGAGGGTACCCATGGATGCTCTGTGTGTTTCGGCCAGCGGAGGGTCTCATGTTCTTGAAGGGTGTTCTTCCGGCCCATGGCCGGCTGCAGCACGTGACACGCCCACCTTGCCGCGGCCGAGAGCCCGCCGCCCAGGAGGCCACTGGGTCAGTGGTGCTGCGGCTTGATGGAAGAAACAACAGGCCAGGCCTGCCGGGGCCCGAGCACGACGACGACGACGACGACGATTAGGAGAACGACGACGACGACGACGACGACGACGACGACGACGACGACGATAAGAACGACGACGACGACGACGACGACGACGACGACGACGACGACGACGACGACGACGACGACGACGACGACGACGACGACGACGACGACGACGACGACGACGACGACGACGACGACGACGACGACGACGACGACGACGACGACGACGACGACGACGACGACGACGACGACGACGACGACGACGACGACGACGACGACGACGACGACGACGACGACGACGACGACGACGACGACGACGACGACGACGACGACGACGACGACGACGACGACGACGACGACGACGACGACGACGACGACGACGACGACGACGACGACGACCAGGGAGCCACTGGTCAGTGGCGCTGCTGCCTGCAGGAGAAGTACTCCGCCCAGGCCCGCCACCCGGGCCCGAGCACTCGCCCAGGCCCTCCCGGGCCGCCCCGACCGCCCCGGGCGCGCCGCCGCGCCGCGCCGCGAACTCCATGGCGCGCGCCGTGCCCCTGCGGCAGCGGGCGGGCCCGCGGCGGGGCCGCGGCCTCGGCCGCGCCGAGGCCTCGGCCCTGGGCGCGGCCCTGGCGCTGGCGCTGGCGGCCTTGGCGGCCGGCTGAGCTGAGCGACGTCGTCGGCGTCGTCGTTGGCCGGTGCCGTCGCCGCCGCCGCCGCCGCCGCCGTCGTCGTCTTCGTCGTCGAGGTCGTCGTCGTCGTCGTCGTCGTCGTGG